TCTATTTTTAACTGTAAAGAAAGTTTTGAATGTTGGTTTCTAACTTTTTTTATGACAGATTGAGCAATAATAAAACAGGTTCCTTCAGAACCCTAGCAAAGCATACTAAAAGTTTTTTATAATGGATCAGTTGTGAACCACCCCAAAATAACATAATCATTTCCACAATCCAAAAGATATCTTGTAAGATTGATTACCCCCCTACACAGATGAGAAATACATCTTTTAAACATTAATGTTTAAAAGACGTTTAAAAGACATTTAAGATACATTTAGATCGTAACTTTTAAAAACAAATGCCCGTCGGGTTGTTTGATACTGGTAAAAATTGCTTCATCAAAAATGTTCGACAAAATTCATCTAATAACTGCTCAAATAAAACGAAACAAAATATGCACCATTAAACAATATTGTCAAAGGGAATAACAAGACCTCCTCTATTCAAGTCATCAATGTTGTTACCACCTTTTTTATAATAAAATTGTGTACCAGTATAATCATAGCTATTTTTTCTTTGAACATAACCACCAATATATAACTAAAAGTCTTCCGCGGTGCTCTGTGATAAGACCGTAAGGACTTCTTGGGGCACCTAAATCAACTTAAAAAAAAAAAAAAAAAGTATTGATTTTGTTTGAACTTTATTCTCAAGTTTTGGCAAGTTATCAAAAATTTCACACTCCTTCTCAAATTTCAAAACCGGGTTGATCAGCAGAGTATCCAAATAATACACCTCTATGATAAGTGAATTTAATATAAACTTCATCAATCAGCAATATACATTTAAGTTGCGTATTTTCAATACTTATCATAACATTTTTCAAAAATTACTGACTATCTTGTGATCCGACTTTTAAAGTGGTTCTTGTCAAAGTTCTTCTTGTCAAAGTTCTGGGTAATTTATAATCACAAGAAATTTGGCTGTACATAGACCTGGATATAGCAAAATATTCAAAAATGCTCAAGTATTTATATCAGGAGAGTAAGTAAATTCACAAACTTTCATTTGAGACACACAGTCCTTATGTTTGAGTAATACATTTTTTTATGGCAAATATCTTTATTTTTTAAGTAACGTATGATTTCATCAAAAACTGACCAATACTTACTACCCAGTAAACACCGTGCGTTTTTAAAACGTTCTTTGGACGCTGTTTTTAGGTTTTATCGTCAAAGGAATATTAGGCACGTTTAATAAACGTTCAGAAAACGTCTTTAAAAAACGAATAAGTTTTGTCCATAAAAGAAGTTCAAAAAACGCTTTTTAAACGCTCTTTTACCGATCTGATTAATCGATACTCAATCATAACTCATTAAACGGCATTAAATGACTTTCCAGCGTTTATTTTGTTTTTGCTGTTTTCTCTTGCAGCTGTTTTCTTTTAATTTAATATACTGAAATATTAAATGATAGCACATGTGATGTGATTTTACAGGATTTTATGTCAATATGCTGTGTATTAATAATATAATGTTAATGTGTTTACGGTTTAACGTGAAATTTTGAATGATTTATGCGGTTCTTATTGTGAATTCTTGAGGGTTATTATTTAGTATAAAAGATTGTTAGAACTAGAATTTTAATATAAAAGTTATAAGATATAATATAAAACATATAATTTTATTTATCTTGAAATAATATATTCTTGATAAAATGAGCGATTCTTCAGGTAATTTTTCTGTTATAAAAACAAGAAAAAGATCGCGACCAAACACAAGGTAATGCTTACAATAGTTCAATTATATCATTTTTTTTAAAATTTAGACAATGCACGAAAACTTTTAAAATACTTTGTTATTAATTCAACTGAACATTTTGGTGAACTTTTTTGTGTTTATAATGTACATAATCTTTTGCACATATGTGAAGATGTGGAATATTTTAACACGCCTTTAGATAATATATCAGCGTTTGAGTTTGAAAATTATTTGCAACAATTGAAAAGATTGGTACGTTCGAAACGTAACCCTATTGTACAAATATGTAAAAGAATAAATGAAATGAACAATGTTATAAAATCATCTCAAACAGTTTCTAATAAAATAAAAGCTTATGTAAAAGATGGTTGTTTTTTAACCAATCATGGTGTGGTTTTAGTCCAAGAATATTTAGGTGGAGGAAAATTTAGTTGTGATTATTACAGAAAAAAAGATTTAGATAATTACTTTATTATTTTTTTAAATTCAAAATCCATTGATGTTTATTGTTTGAGAAATAATCTAAAGAGTGTTGTTTTTATTAAAGATATTGCTACTTTACAGATTAAGTGCGCATGTTTACCTGTAAATAATGGATTTGTTATTTTACGATTACTTCATAATAAATTTTAAATATTCAGAACCAAATTGTGTTTTGTTTTCAGTTATTTTATTATACCCAATGATATGTCTATCAGTTTTTAATAATTTTCAAGTTTTGCAAGTAAAAATAAAAATAAAAAATATTTGTTTTTAATACTAATTATTTATTTTTATTTTTACTTAAGTAAAAACAAAAATAAATAATAAGTAAAAATAAAATAAAACTTGCAAAACTTGAAAATTATTAAAAATTTAATAATAATTATTTATTTATACTTATCTTTTATACTTATCTTATTTTAATAGTCTGTGTTGTTAAAAATTATATATGAATTTTTTTGTTTAATAATAAAATACAATTACCAATAAAATACTGTATTTTGTTGTCACAATTTCTAAAGACAATGTTTTGAAAAAATTGACTGTTCCATTAAACTGTTGTAGACAAGGTAAATGAAAACGCTGTTTATTTGCCACCTCATTTTGATTTTTTTATATATTGCTTTATTGTGTTTTTTAGATCATTTGACTGAAATGGATTGGTGGCAATACGCCAGCATAAATTAAAACCAATGCAAAACAATTTCCAAAAATGGTTCAAGCTAAGTTTAGTAAATTGGGAAAAAATTGAAATTTACTGCTTAAGGCGACCTACTTGTGCAAGACTCTGCTTGGTAATTTTTACTTTTAAAATTTAAAATGTGACTTTTTTATATAAGATTATGTTTGGTATTAATAAGCATTATGTTTAGTTTAATTTAGTTTTATAAAGTTAATTGTTTTTTTAGAGTGAAAAAAATTGATTATATTATTTCTGATATGTCTTAAAATTACTTATAATAATATCAAATAGATGATAATCTAAATATGAACTTATATTGAGTTTTTTTTTTTTTTTTTTTTTTTTGTAGATGCTCTAACGACGGAAAGAATATCAAAATAAAATGTGGATCGATTAATAGGAGAACATTTAAAACGAGATCTCAGTGCTGAAGATAAAAAAACATTCATCTTTGTAAATAGCATTAACATTAAATTTGTGTTTTAAATTATTTGTGTATTCTTTTGAATTTATAATGCCATTATAAATAAAACTAAATAAATTGTGCAATGAAATCATTTAATTTAAAAAATTGAAAAAGTAGGAGGATTTATTTTCTAAATATAAAAAATATATAGTAATTTTTTATACTTTCAAAGCGTCAAATTTGGACGGAAAAAGCTCTTCAAATAAACGCTTTCAATACAGGTTTAAAAAACGTTTTCTGAACGATTATTAAAACCGTCCACCACCATTTCTTTTAGACGGAAAAAGCACCAAAAATAAACGTTTCCAAAACACGTCCAAAAATCGTTTTTCGAACGCTTTCAAAAAACCGTCCACCACCATTTCTTTTAGACGGAAAAAGGACCTAAATTAAACGTTTTAAAAAGACGTCCAAAAAGCGTTTTCGAAAAACGTTTTCTGAACGTTTTTAAAAAACCGTCCGCCACCATTTCCTTTACACGGAAAAAGCACCTAAATAAAACGTTTCAAAAAGACGTCCAGAAAACGTTTTTTGAACGATACTGTGTTTACTGGGTACGTGATGATGTTTTACTTGACATTAAAATGGGAATACTGCAAGATGACCCAAGATGAAACAAAGTTAATGTTAAATTCCTATTAATGATAACTAAAATTTTTGGAATACAACTACGAACTTTTTTGACTGAATGTAAACAATATCATTATTGTCATTTATGTTGTATACAATAGGATACTGCGCAATAATATACTGCGCAAGAGTCTCTCTTTTATGTTATCAAATTGAAAAAAAATCATGTTCTCTAAAGCTTTCTAGTTCATCTGATGTTGTATTTCTTATACTGGACGATGATAATTTTGTTGTTCTGGGTTTAGAAGAAAGTAAACTAGCTGATATGTTAGAAAAGACAGTTGGTGGTTTTGAAGGACGTTCTTTTCTACGAACGATAAAACAAACTTAATTGGCCCACAGATTTGCAATTTGTCGGCCGACGAAGTCGGCACACCACAGTGTATTTATTTACAACAAGATTCTTTCTTGGAATAGCTTTTATCCACTTCTCTTTTTCGTATTCATCTCATAGAAATCAATAAGTGGACACCTTTGCAGTTGATGACGCATAAACACTATTACAGCATGGAATATAACATTTCGAGGCATAATTAATAAATATATGTTAAATAAGTGTGTTGCAATTTAAAATAGATTAACTTTTAACTGCCATTTTTTTTTCGTTTCTGAGTAAATAACGCTTCAAATTTTTTTTTAGACCAATTGCTATATATGAGTATTGCTATATATGCGTATATATGCTATATATGAGTGTAAACATCGCAAATCAAAAATGTTTTATTCCATGTAAATCTATCCATATAGAATAAGCCTCCAGTCAAAAAATGTTTTATCGCGATGCCAAGACCTGTATTTCTAGAAGGCCGTGACAAATATGCATATTATTTGTAACAATCAAATAAAACTGAAAAACTTTATTTAAATATATAAAGCGGTCAAATCATTTTCAAAATTATATAAAATACTGTTTATTTAGTTTTATACTAAAGCATTTATTAATTATTTTTTAGTATAACTTTCTGTATATTAGATATTAAATATTAAAAAAAAAGCGACTAAAATTACACCAATTAGATATTATTAAAAAATAATTATTACCTAAAAATTTGAACTATTTTTCTTCCTTGAATAATATGCAACTATTTTACCTAAATGATTTCTCGATTACTTTATATTTTAAAAGTCACAATACAGTTTTATTATTTAAAACATATTCTTGTAAATATTAAAAATTTTAAATAAACTTTTCCAAAAAGAATGTGTATTCAAATTTGTCCATAAAAAATTCATTTTGACAAAATAGATTGTTTGTTAAGTCTTAGTTTAAAAGTATTAAATTAATAATGATTGAACCGTAAAACAAATTTGTTAAAAAGATAACAACGACAACTGTATAAATGTAATATTATTTAAGTTCATCAACAACTGCATTTTTTTAAGGAATTATTTTTATATACAATTAAGTTATATAAGAATAAAGTCAACCAAATCTAGTATTACGCTGACCGGCACATCTGCTAATTTTACACAGTGGTTCAGACTTACTGCATAAGTGAAAAGTTATTATTAACAAGCGCAGTGAGATTTGCATACTTCAAGAAATTTAAAATTGGCTACGGATACCGAATATAAAAAATATTTTATTGACAATGAGCTATTTTTTACAAATTTTTGCCATTAAATATGCATTTAACCGTTTGTTAAAAGAAGATTATCAAAAAGAATTTCCAGTGCATAATGCAAAAAATCAAATAAAATTTTCAAAATAATTAAAATGTAACTTCAACTATAGCTCCTTTAATATGTTTTGTTTATTGTTTTCAAATCTTTATTAAAACATTTTCCAGGGTAAAAGTTTATTATTTTTTACTTTTTCAGATAGACGAACTTATTATCAATTTTGGAGTGTTTGCTAATATTAGATTCAATTTTTTTTAAAGAATAGAATATATTTTTTTTAAATTAACTTTTTATTAGCTGCTGATCGGTAATCTATAGTCACAATACATACCCAGCTAACACAAAACGTTCAAGCACGTTCTATGAACGTTCAATAATTAACGTTCAAGAAACATTCCCTCAACGATCTTTTAGGTTCGCATTACGTACGCTACAAATGTTACGTGAACTAACTTTTTTGAACTCCAAATTACAGTTCTTTAACGTTCAAAACAAACGTTCAAATAACAAACAGAAAGCATTTACTTATTGTGCAAATGCAAACGTTCTTTTGATAGCTCTTAAACGTTCATTTCAAACATGCAACAAAAAACAAGGAAGTTTTACGGAACTTTTTTCTTCCTTGTTTTTTGATTTTTAAGTTAAACTTTAAAATGTAAAGAATTAGATGCACTTTCTGTTTAAACCTTCGTTTGCTAGTTTTTGAGTAATCTAATGTTTTTTTTTTTTTTTATTTTTTTATTTACACTTTTTGCCGATAAAAAAAAATTTACAGCCGTAACTTATAAAAAAAATAATTACATGACCGGGGCTAGAAGAAGACAAATTTAGTCTTATCATTAAGCCCCAAAAACATGCGTCATTGCTAGACAAAATATAGTTTAACAATAAAATATAGTTTCAATGTATATATCTCTGATTTATGTTATAAAAGAAAATTTAAATATATTGCATATCGTTTAAAATTTATATTTTTTTCAAAGAATAAGATTTAACAATTGTTTTTTAAAATAAAAGAAACAAAATTTAATAAGATATTAAATGACAAAAATAACATTTAAGACTTGGTTTGAAAAATAAGAAGATATGATTTTATATAAAAACATTTTATTGGTAGAGAATTTTATAGCTTAACTTATTTAATTATATTTATAATACTTTCATTGCCAATTAAGTAAAAGCAAATAAACAGTATAAAATAAAAGTAAATGATTAATAAATAAAAATAAATTTCGCAAAAATAAAAAATAAATATCTCAAAAAGAAGGTTATCGTTTAAAATGATAAAAACATATGTACTATTGTTGACTAATTAGGTATTAATAATCTAAAGTAATTAGTTAATTAACTTTTAATTATTGATTTCTAATATAAAGAAGTTTTATTTTATATAGAAAAAATTTAATTCATTTTCAGTTAACAAAAGTATTTGCTTAAGTTATGTTTTGAATTGGTTTAGAGAATAATTAGTTTTTATTTCACTAATTAATTATTATGTTCCACAACTTTGGTCCTCGCTTTACAATAGAGAATTTAGTAGCCGATTAATAAGTTTTGGATTGAATGTAGTTGTATTTCGAAAATCTTGTAGGGTATATGTGATTTATTTTTTCAAAAATTGAATAATATAAGATTGGTAATATATTTTTATCAAATTTGAACATAAAAGTAAGAACTTGATAGAGGTTTAGTTTATATACATTTAGGATATTGAGTTCATTAAAAAGTGATTGTGTGTGTGAGAAACGATCTTCGTTTGAAATTATCCTTATAACCTGTTTTTGTTTGCTAAGCAGTTTTTTTATTTTCGTCGCGTTAGTGCTACACCGAGCAATGTTCGCATAACTTAAATAGCAATGAATAAAAGAAAAGTAAATGTTTTTTAAACAAGATCGATGTAATAAATGCTTTGCTTTGTACTTTATACCTAAATTTTTTGATATTTTATCTTCAACTATAACCTATATATTCCCTCCAGGTTACATTTTCGTCTAGAAACACGCCTAAAAACTTTATTAATTGCTCTCTCTTTATTAATTGATTGTCAATAAAAAGGTCTAGAAGTTCTAAAGGAATATCTGATTTTTTATGTAGGCGATGGAATAAAGTGTGTTTTGTTTTAGTAATATTTAAAGATAACTTGTTTGATTTAAACCATTGGGTTAGTTTGTCTAGTTCTTTGTTTAATGGTTGGAATAAAATATTGATATCTTTATTGGAGTAAAACAAGCTGGTATCATCTGCAAATAAAATTGTATTTAAAATGTTAGAAAATTTATTTAAATCGTTTATATAAACAAGAAATAGAAGTGGTCCTAAAATTGATCCTTGAGGAACACCACATTTAACTGTCTCATAATTAGTTTTTCCTTTATCATAAACTATATACTGCTTCCTATTGGTCAAACTCAAAAAAAAAAAAAACAAGATGAAGAAAATTACCAGACAGGGTAGAAAAACAAACAAATAAAAAAAAGAATAAACAAATTATAAATTGCGACTAAAACAAGTTTTTCTGTATCAAATTAAAACAAAAAGCTAATCGGCATTAAAGTTTACGCGTAGAAACATAATATCAAGGTCATAAATATTATAATTACCAATATTTATACAAAAAAAAGTTATTATGCAAGATAATAGTTATTACTATTGTAGTACCATTTACCTCTTTGTTTAAATTTTATAACAAAAAATTGGCCATGGTGAATTTGTAGTTAAGTATATATAAACTTTTACTTAAGTAATTATTAATTATTTGTTAAATAAATAATTAAATTCAAAAAAGTTATACATATTATATATATATATATATATATATATATATATATATATATATATATATATATATATATATATATATATATATATATATATATATATATATATATATATATATATATATATATATATACTTTATATATATATATATATATATATATATATATATATATATATATATATGTATATATATATATATATATATATATATATATATATATATATATATATATATATATATACTTTATATATATATACATTATATATATATATACTTTATATATATATATATATTACTTTATATATATATATATATATATATATAAAGTAATTAAAAGTTCTTTACGGATAATTTTAACTCAAATCAACTGACTTTTAAGTCAGTTCAGATATTGCATTGAATATTGTAAATGATATTAATATCATAAATGATATTAAGAAATAATAATAAAGTATAAAGATTTTGACCTAGAAAAATTTATCTTTAAAATAAAGCAAAAGATTAGAGCATAAAATGTAGTCCTGATACAAGATATGGTAGCTTTAAAAAAGAGCTATAGCATAATTTTGTAGATTCTCCTGCAAATAATGCAGCTTAATGAGGGGACATAGCAACTGTACAATTTTAACCCAGATCTCATGTAAATTTTGGTACCCTTAAGTTCTTGATAAAGTATACTCTCTAAAATAATGTAGACAAATTTTTTTACAATTTACATAATTACCTAAAATAAATTTATGTGTTGTATTCTGCACAGAAAAAATTATTTTGCTAATGATTTCATTTTATGTAAGAACCCTTGGATTTTTAACCACTTCTTTTCTTAATTCAATCATTCTATGTTTGGAGGACCACTTCTTCCAATGTGTAATTCAATCTGTTTATGCTTCAAAACACTAGCTTCACAACTTTTTTGCATAACTATCATAACTTATAGCTTACTAAAAACAAAACTTTATACAAATTTAGCTAAATCATTTCATTAATTTGTATAAAAATGTTTGAAGTTGATGCTTTAAAAATGTAATTATTAATTACAAACAGATAACTAAACAGTTTATAATTATTTAAGTAAACTCTTATTTTAAAGAAAAATCAAATACTTTGCATTTATATTTCATATTTATACATTCATACGTGTTTGTATCGTGTTTTTATGATTTAGTATAATATTTAAAAACTATATACTCATTTAAATATTCATGATTATTTTAAATTTATAGCAATTAAGTTCTATATAAATACGCAATATATTTTGTACTACTAATAAATAAAATTTCTTGTAATAATTGTAATAAAATTATTTTGAAATATCTAAAATTCGTTAAAAATATATATAAAAATTAATATAAAAATATAAAAGTTATTACATATAATTATATAATAATGTTACAGAAAAAAAAAATTAACATAAATTAAACAAACAAACACATGATCGTTTGCTTAGTAAACTGTTACATATAAGTCATTATAATTTTATATAAAAATACACCAGTTATCGGTATCATTATTATATTCCTCGTCCTAATTTCTCCCTCCTGCATGACGATTTCCTTCATATTTTAACCATAATTTTATTAAGTTTTCATGAAGAGTTTATGAAGTCTTCATGAAGAGTTTATTAAGTTTTTTAAGTCGTATTAAGTTTATAAGTGCCTTAAAGCAAATGTTGCGATTATTGAGTTCAACAATTGCTTCATGAG